CACCTAATCATTTGTTTGTAATATGTTGATTACTGGTTTATGGTTTTAATCTTTTGATTTCCCCAATGGCTGAACTTGAAAATGACCCACATAAAAACTAGGAAGGCCCAGCTTTCATATCTATCACGTTCAAACTGCAGCTGTTAGGCAGGGCTCTGCCATGGCCCCTAACTCACTTAGTTCAAAAGTGGGGCAAAGAAAAAAGTAAGCCAGAGTTCCCTTTTTTATTCACCATCTGATGACTCCTGCTGGATATTGTACATCAAGGCAAAGAAACACAGCCCAGTCAAATAGCTGCCATTCTTCATGCGTACAGGTCAAAAAGGGTGAGATTAAAAGCCCCAAGGAAAAGCAAGAAAGCTAAAGAAAGGTTTATTTATCAACATCCACAACTTAGGAAGTTGATGGAGGAATAGTCTCTAAGTCCACCTTGTTAGATACAAAATCAATCTGAAAGTCAAGTTTATTTGGGATATAGGATTGGAATCTTAGCCTCAAAGTATAAAATGTATTTCCTTCCCAACTTATTACAATTAACTAATCAAAACCCCAAGGAATAACTAAATTACATGCAACTCTGGAAACAAAATAAATTCCACCAATATACATCCAACATGCAAAAGAGTTCTCTCTTAAATGCAGAATGAAAATAAGCCTCAACTGAAAATAATTTTTCCACAGAGCATATTTTGTAATACTTTAAAAAAAACCGATTCCTCATAACTTGTGGTCCTACAATAACAAAGAGATTTTATGGTTGAGGCCAGCCATTGCATGACAGGAACAAAATGAATCAAATTCTTCAATTCATTTGGTCAGCCAGATGGCCTCCATATGTGGAAAATCATCACCACATTAGGAATTGCCAAACCAAATTGTGAGGGAACAGACTAGTTTGTCTAATGTTTTTCCAATGTACAGATACACCCTTTTTAACTTTAGGTGAAATTCAGTTTGTGAAGGGTGAGACTGTAGGTTTTCCAGTTACAAACTCAGTCAACCAACACAGGCCAAAGCTACTTAACCATAACGGAACAGTTTAACTTGTGGCATTGTTCAGCGGGATAATATGGAGGCAAGGGGAAACTGTTTTCTGTGACAATCTATTGCTTTAGTTTTAATTACAGGGGGAAAAAGAATGAAGTAATAGCCTGAAGTACTGCAAACTGCCTGACTCAGGTTCCAATTCAAATCTGCAAGAGAAGATCAATTTGTGTTTGAACTTCCCACCTTGTGCTCTGACCAAGAAACATGTCCCCCAAAAAAAGCCCATTTGCTTCTTATTTTCCACTTCTAAGGGGGACTGCCACCGGGTGGCTCATAAACAGCCCAAAAATGCGAGCTTAACCCAAAAATCTTAGGAACTTCTCTCAATTGGTATACTAGTAGCTTAACCCTTGAGAAAATGGATATCAATTGCCAACATTCTCCAAAACATAGCATGGAAAAGAAAAGTACACAGAATATTAGGTACAAAATTGTCACTGCTTATATAGAGCTACCTGATACATCAGGTTCATCCAAAAGATACAACAAAATTCAGAAGGAAAAAGGTATTCAATAGTTTAAACAAAATTTCTCTCCTTATGAAGTGCATTTACCAGACCTGGAATCAATCTTTTTGAGCCAAATGTTCTCAGGCAAAGCAATTCCTTCTGTCTTATATCAATTCTATGTGGAACTTTCTCAGTTTGGTGTTCAATGTCAGTCAGCTCTGTTTACTGTACAATCCATCTGCATTTTCCATTATCAAATTCATTGGCTCAATTTTCTTTGGAGCCAATAAGACTGCTCAATCTACCCATACAAAAACTATTGTTGGTCTACGTACTGCAGTGGTTCAGAAAGGCAGCTTACCACCACCCTCTCAGGGGCAACTCGGGCCAGCCAGCATTGCCCAAGTTCCACAAGTGAATAAATTAAAACCTGCTCAGAGATGTAAGACTCTCGGAAACCAAGTGGAAACACAGCTGTATCTACAGGCAAGAGATTCTAAATATCACATGGTGTTAATGCAAAAAATAACCATTTGCAATAGTTGGAGAGAATATATGTTGCATTTGAGCAGAGACCTGATTTGTTTCCTGTCCAGTTCAAACTAAATATCCAAGGATACACATCCTATTGAAAGAATGGGCAGCGGGTTTGCGTCTTAATAAGAAACAAAATTAAATTGATAGCAAGAAGTGACACAGGATTGGAAGGCACAGGATCTGTGTGGATATAGTTGAGGAACCGCAAAGGGAAAAAAGACTCCGATGAGAGTTATGTATAGGCCTCTTAGCAGTAGTCAAGATATGGGGCAGAAAATAAATCAGGAAATGAAAAAGGCATGTGGGAAAGACATGATTACAATAATCTTGGGGGACTTCAATATGAAGGTGGACTGGCAAAATCAGATCGGTAATGGATTCCAAGAAAAGGAATTCATGGAATATCTACAAGATGGCTTTTGGGAGCAGCTTGTGTAGAATCCACAAGGGAACAGGCAATTCTGGATTTGATGACATACAATGAGGCAGACTTGATTAGGGAGGTCAAAGTCAAGGAACCTCTCAGGGCAGGGACCACAGAATAACAGAATTCACCCTGCAGTTTGAGAGGAAGAAGCTTGAATTAGTTGTAACAGCATTACAACTGAGTAAAAAACATAACGACAAAGATGTGAGGGAGGAGCTGATCAGAGTTAATTAGAAAGAGAGCCTAGCAAGGAAGATGGTTGAGCAGCAATGACAGGAATTTCTGGGGATAATTCAGGAGGAACAGCAGAAATTCATCCCAAAGAAGATGCTAAGGGGAGGATGAGGCAACCATGGCTGATGAGGGAAGGCAGGAACAACATAAAAGCAAATGAAAAAGTATACAATGTGGTGAAGGTTAGTAGTAAGCATTTAAAAAACCAGAGGGCAACTAAAAAGCAATTTAAAAAGGGAGAGAAGATGAAATATGAGGGTAAGCTAGCTAGTAACATAAAAGAAGATTGTAAGAGTTTTTTTAAGATATATAAAAAGGTAAGAGAGAGGCAAGAGTGGTCATCAGGCTGTTGGAAAACAAAGCTGGAGAAGTGATAATGGCGAGGAACTGAATAGGCACTTTGCAAAAGTTGTCCCAGTGGAAGACACCAGCAGCATACCAGAGCTTCAAGAGAGTTGGGGCCATCACTAAGGAAGGTCCTGGGGAAGCTAGAGTCTGAAGGTAGATAAATCATTCAGACCTGATTTATCTACACCCTAGGATTCTGAAGAAGGTAGTGGAGGAAATTGTGGAAGCATTGGTGATGATCTTTCAGAAGTCACTGGAGTCTGGCAGACTTTCACAGGATGGGAAAATGGCTGATGTAACACCCTTGATTAAGAAGGGAGGGAAACAGAAGACAGTAATTTATAGATTGGTTAGCCTGACCTTAGTCATTCATAAGATTTGAATCCATTATTAAGGATGAGATTGCGGAATACTTGGAAGTGCATGGTAAAATAGGGCTGACACAGCGCAGCTTCATCAAGGGGAGGTGATGTTTGATGAATCTGTTTGAATTCTTTGAGGAGGTAATGAGCAAGATAGACAAAGGAGACCCAGTGCACATGAAATTATTTTTGACATCCAGAAAGCCTTTGAAAAGGAGCCACACAGGAGTGAGCTAATTTAGTTAAGAGATCATGGTGTCAGGGCAAGGTACTGGCATGGATAGAGAGTTGGAGACAATAGGAGTACAGATGCTGGAAGCCAGTGTCAATAGGTGTGAGGCTGTTAAAGCACAGCAGGTCAAACAGCAGAGGAGCAGGAAAGTCGATGTTTCAATTTTTTTACAGAAGTGGATAACCTCACACTTTTACACAATGTATTCCAACTGCCATTTCCTAGTCTGCTGAAGTCTTTCTGCAGTCTCCCTGTATCTTTAACACTACCTGTCTCTCCGCCTATCTGTGTCATCTACAGTCTTAGCAACAACACGTCAACAGGACTGGGGTGGGGGAGGGGAACCCAGAAATAAAGAGACAGAGGGGCGTGGGCACTGGGAGAAGGGTAGCAGATATGGTGCAGAATGTGGTTGAAAAGCTTCAGGGCAGAGGAGAGAATTGGGGTGGGGGGTGGGTTGCAGCAGGAGAGAGACTTACTGAGCTTTCTTTGAAGGGAGAGGGCTGACTGAGTAGCAGAAGGCAGAGAGTGAGGATTAAATGGTCTTTTTCAGGAGGGCAGCTTACAACTAGTGGAATTCCACAGGGTTCAGTGTTGTGACCACAACTATTCACATTATCCATTAATGATCTGGATGAAGGAACTGAAGGCATTGTTGCGAATGTTTGTGGAAAAGTGTGAGGTTATCCACTTCTGTAAAAAATTAGAAGCGTAGACTATTTTCGAAGTGGGGAAAGGCTTTGGAAATCTGAAGCACAAAGGGACTTTGGAGACCTGGTTCAGAATTCTCTTACAGTTAACATGCAAGATCAGTTAGAAAGGCAAATGCAATGTTAGCACTCATTTCTGGAGAGCTGGCACACAAAAGCAGAGATATACTGCTGAGGCTGTATAAGGCTCTGGTCAGACCACAAATGGAAGATTGTTAGCAGTTTTGTGCTCCATATCTAAGGAAGGATATGCTGGGCTTGGAGGTGGTTCAGAGGACATTTACAAGAATGAACCCAGGGATAAAGGGCTTGTCCCATGAGGAGCAGTTGAGGTCTCAGTCTGTACTCAATGAAGTTTAGAAGGATAGGGAGAGAATCTGATTGAAACCTACAGAATACTGACAGACGGAGACAGAGTGGACTGAAGATGTTTCCACTAATAAGAGGGACTAGGACTATTAAAATGACATACAGTCTCAGTGAAGGGACCACCATTTAGAACGGAGATGTGGAGAAATTTCTTCAGCCAGAGGGTGGTGAATCTGTAGAATTCATTGCCGCAGAGGGCTGTGGAGGCCAGGTCATTGAGTATTTAAGACAAAGATAGATAGGTTCTTGATTAGTAAGATGATAAAGTGTTACAGGGAGAAGGCAGTAGAATAGGGTTGAGAAACGTATCAGCCATGATCGAATGGTGGAACAGACTCGATGGAATTGGGAGAGGGATACCACCAAACACGGACCATTCTTTTGAACATTAAGTAAGTCAGGGATTTTTGGAGGAGCGCGTTGGCCATTTTGAGAGAGTTTGGGGGAAAAGTGCGCTCCTTCCAACCTGAATCGGCCCGGTTTGCAATACCGTTCATGGGGCGGAGCCGGCCTCCGGGTTATGTCTCCGGCTCTGCTCCATCATTCTCCGGGGCAGTGCGTCCGCTCGGCCGGGCACCGCGCCGGTCACTTCCTCGCCTTAGAAATACTCCTAGGAGGCCGGCTCCGCGGCTTCCCACCACCCCCCCCCTCCCTCCCCTCCAAAACAGAGAGGCGGGGGGAATTCTCACTGCAGAATTTGTCCCGGGGGTGGCGGCTGAATCCTCAGTTAAATAAATAATTCAAAAGTGGCAGAGAGTTTAGGAAGTGAATTCCCACAGAATCCACGGGAGCCTATTTAAAAACTCTATCCGATTCTTCTAAAATTCTTCCTCTACCACATCCCAATCCCTTAAAATTCCACACAAACACCCTGGCCTCTGGTCGACCATAAAAGTGCATAATCTCGCCTCGATCGCAACTGAAGGCGGAGAGGTGGAGCTATAAAGTTCAGAAACTCGACTGGAGCGAGAACAAAAGGCAAAAAAAGTTTGTTTTAAAAAAGGGGCGTTTAAAAGTTTAGTAAAAACTCTACTTAACAGACGTAGGTAGTTATTTTAACTACACTTGTGAGCCGCGTGCTAGAAATTTGCACAGAAACTTAAAAGAGATCAGAAATCGGTGCAATTCACTCGTCCCGATTTCAGTGATTTCCCCATACAGGCGGAACAAAAAAAAATCAACTAGAACCGTACCACATAGCAACCACTCCTTAAAGAACAATTGTTTTGTTCTGTATTTTTCTCTTAAAAGCAGCCGCTCCAAGCACAAATGTAAGCAGAATGAGTAAATATTGCAATTCTCCCAAGGTTCAGTCGCCATGCTTCACTGTCCCTCTTTTCTTTAAAAAAAAACATAAGTTGATACTGAAAGTAGGCCAAAAGTTTTCTTCCACTTTACGCACAAGACTGAACCGCTACAAAGAGCCCATGCAGTTCTTCTCACCAAGTACAATGGCAGGACTAATTAGATCATAGTATGTTGCTACCGATACTGTAATAAATAGCTAACAAAAGAAAGCGACAAGTAGAAGCCACTTACCGATCAAACCTCCCACCAGAAAGGAAATTACTTGGAAAACCAGCAAAATCCCTCCAAAAATGCACAATTTCTTCGTGCTCATATTTTCTATAATTGCGCCTGCCATCGTTTATTACCCTGTTTTCACTCTTTTCGGCCCGTAACGGTAACTAATTGAATTAGAGTCAATTTAATCCAAGCGAAGATCTGGTCGCAGCCCCAGTGTCGGAAGCTGTGATTCTGCAAACGAGCTCCCGCTCTCTCACTCACACACTCCCTCTCGTCCTTCAGGCTTTTTTTTAAGGGGCGCTGTGGGAAACCGACAACACACATACAAAAAAAAACAATCACATGACTTGCCAGATTCAGTCCGTCCGACTGCTACAGTATCTCAATAACTTCATGCCAACCCTGCGATTAATAACGTTTAATTCATTGCCAATTTTAAAAAGCCAGCCCATCAACCCGCAAAGTTAAGGATGTGGTCAGCTGTGTCATACCTGTGAAGAAGGGACGCCGACGGGCAATTTAACTCCGAGATAAAGCCGGGATGATCAGCGAAGACATCGGGAAGAGGGCATCCTGCTGACACTAAGCTGCCGTGTGAGGAAATGGCACCATACCCAGAGAAATGGTGCCAGCATTTAGAATTAAAGCTGTATTTTCAGGAGGGAAAATAAATGGTCCAAACAGTGTCTTTTCTTCTTGTTTACCCTGCCTTTTAGTAGTTCCTGTGACTGTTCGGAGAAGGTAATTTAACGAATCAGATTTTTGCCACTGGAATTTTTGACCAGATAAAAGGAAGGATTTACATTTACGTAGCGCCTTTCCTAACCGGAGGAAACCTCAATGTCCTTTACTCCAAAGTGCTTTTGAAGTGTAGCCACTGTAGTAGATGTTGCAAACGATGTGCAGAAATTAAGGTCCACTAAACAAGAATGAGATAATGATTAGATCTATTTCTTTTCTAGACGATTGACCAATAATTATATATCTGATACCTAAAAGAAAGACTCACATTAGGCCGTGTTTTCCACAAGCATCGCACGTTTCAAAGTACTGTACAGCCAACGACGTACTTTTTTTGTCGTGTGGTCATTGTTTTAAAGTAGGAAATGCAGCATTGAATTTGTACAATACAAGCTTCCACAAACAACAATGTAATAATAACCAAATAACTTGCCATGGTGATGCTGATTGGGAAACAAATATGGGCCAGGGTCCATTCCCCTCCTTTTGCAGGGAATGGGTGCAGGAGTAGACCATTCAGCTCATCAAGCCTTCTCTGACATTCAAATAGATCAGACTGATCTTCTACCTCAATGCCATTACCTTAATAGTGCTGCTGGGATTTGAGAGTTGTTTGTCATCTAAATGGAAGCATGTCCTGGAAGTGGGTATTCTTCTCAAGTGGAGACAGATGTCCCACCCTCTGCCAATTAACTCAGCTCTGGGTGACCACCTGCCCCCCACTTTCAAGACAGGAGGATAGGGGTGGGGCTATTGTTTCCATGTAAAATCCCAGCCAATGTATGTTATCTAACATTTCCACTCTTCTATGTTAGTGGCCAGATGGACCTTGGTGCTCACACTGCAGGGTCTGATCATGACTTACTCTAACGTCACAAATGAGCAACTCTTCCCTGTCCATGAGTCATGTGCACAACTCCAGCACAGGGATATAAAACATTAAGTGAGATCTGTTGTAATCAATCTCTGCTCAACTCTGTCCCAAAATTTCCAAGGGCCTCTGCAGTTTGTATGGTTCTGTTAATCCCTACTATTCAGAGGCTTGCTGTACCTAAGATATCCCTGCATCTCCAAATATTTTTAATATGTAGGAATCTATCAATCTCTGCCCCGAACATACTCAATTACTACTTTTTTTCATTTTTTAAGAATTATCTTTGAAATAGTGCCAGGAGATCACTTACATCCACACAAACAGAAGATGAGGACTCAGCTTAACATCTCATCCAATGGACAGCACCTCTGACTGGTCAATACTGCACCAGAATATCAGATAACAATCTGTTCCCGAATCTGTAGAGTGGGAAGATTTGCAGCTCTGAGATGAGAGTTCCACCACTGGACTGTGATAACTGCTTATGCCTTAACTTAATTACTTTGTAAAGATTTTAATTTAGTACCAGATAATGACATTCATTTTGAAGAAGCCGATCGAGAATTCTCACCATGGCTAATTAAGTAAATGGTAACAGTAATAGAGTCATAGCTTCTTCTTCTTTCGTTCTTTGTACAATACTGGTTTAACCCACAGTATCACAGCTCACCTTGGGAAGAGCAAGGAAGCGGTTCCCAAATCTATCCCAGCTAGAACAGTGGTCAAACCCTACACTGATGACACCACTCTGACTCACACTGGCAATCCAGCCAACTCAGCCAGCTGGCCCTTAAGGAGTCCAATATGTTGGAAGAATTTGCCTGGAGTAGGACATGAATCATGCAACTGGAGTTTCTGGCTCAGAAGCAGGGACACTACCCAATTTTCCACAAGACTTCTTTGAGCCACGTACACCAGAAAAATTCAAGATTCAATCATTCCTGTGGTTAAGGTTGTTCAGCTTTGTTGGAGTGCTGTATGGTCCAATTGTTATTAGTACAATTGAGTTAGGAAGGAAATTAAATCAGGTGGGTACCCTCTCTTATTTGTTACCCAGTGACCCTTGCTGAAGTTGAATATTGGTGGATGTTGGGAAGTTTGGGCAATACATGATCAGGTTCATCTATGACACCCTCCACCACTAGGAAACACTCATTATACTGAAATACATTTAAACCAGTACGGCTACTGTCTTAAAGTCATGATTCAAATCAAAAAATGGCTTTAAGTATTTTCTGACTGAAAAGCCACCGAATGAGTTTTCAAAGACTGAACCAGCATTTAGTGACTTGAAACGTTGATTTCTAAGGTGGCTGATCATTTGCATGACTGTATCTTATGCAATCCAATTGGAGTTAAGCCTGTCTAAAAAAACTGAACAGTGACAATCACCTTGAAGGAGTATGAATGGGTTATCTTCTAACCCATTCACAAAGTTTCCAGAAAATCACTTGATTGTTCAACTGGATAAGAAACAAGCATGAACTGTAATTATCTCATACAATAAACACTGGCTGAGAGATGAATTTACCCAGCTATAATCTAATTATGTAAACCATGGACCCAGAGTTCACTAACCATGACCATGTTCAAGTACCTGGTCAGTTGGAGATACAGGATGATTTGACTCTTTTGTGTTGAAGAAGCTGCTTTCTCTGATCAATACAGAAGCAGAAGTAATGCCCAAGAAGTAGATTCCCAGAGTGGAACTTTCCCTTTCTCCATTCAGCCTGCAAGCTTGAGCGCTGTCTCCTGTTAGACCGTCCATATGGCAGTCAGAGTATTGAGAGCCAATCCAGAGGCTGCTGATTCCATAAGAAGAGATAAATTGTCTCTCAAGTTATTTAAATTGTGTCACACGAAATCTAGTGGGATTTTTGAGCTCAGCCTGAAATTATTCAAGTCATCAATCTCCAAGATCTGCATACATTTAACTTTTATTGGATTTTTAATAAGACCGTTTAATCTGTCCTCCTGCTCTGTGTCTGTGTGTGAATGTCTGTTTGTGTTTTGAAGCTTGAGTGCATTTGTGTGTGAGGTTCAGAGACGTTTTAATTATTTTTATTAGACCTGGTTAAGTACAATAAATATTACTCTCTTCCTTTAAAAAAAAACAAGGAAACCTGTCTATGTCTATCTTTCACAGTCAAAACATGTGAACAGCCACTTTACTGAATTCACAACCATGTCCATTTGAAAAAGCCTGTTGTGGTCAATGAGGAATAATTAAAGAAAGGAGCCCTTCTGCCCCTCATCACTTGATTGTAACACTATAAACAGATTGTTAACACACACAAATAGTTTGCTAGCACATTCACTACCTTCAATAAAAGAAGAAAATGAAGAAAAGTGGATGTGAAATAAGCAGTTATTGCAGCTTGTTGTTTTAGATCAATGTAATACAGTGTAACTTACCTTGATGCAGTTCCTTAACATAGTACCATATTGCTGGAATATCCAAGCTTCTGACTTCACATTGGTCTCTACCATGAAGCTGAAAGGACTACAGATAACTTTTCAATCCAAGTTCTCATTAATTTTTATATAGTTCAGCATCCTAGTAATTAACTGTTATATTTGTGGACTTTTTCATTCGTTCATGGGATGTAGGCATTGCTGACTAGGCCAGCATTTATTGCACATCCTTACTTGCCCAGAAGACAATTAAGAGTCAACCACATTGCTGTGTGCCCGGAGTCACATCTAGGGCAGACCAGGTAAGGATGGCATCTTCCTTCCCAAAGGACATTAGTGAACCAGACATGTTTTCCTGATAATTGTCAATGGTTTCATGGTCATCATTAAATTCTTAATTCCAGATTTTTATCGAATTCAAATTCCACCATCTGCCATGTTGGGTTTCAAACCCAAAACATCGCCTCAGTCTCTGGATTAACAGTCCACTGATATTACTACTAGGCCAATACCTCCTAACCAAAGACAGCACTAAAATCAGCCCTTTCCAAAATTCTAGAATAACAATAATCAAACAAGATAAAGCAGCCATACATCAATACAAGAACAAATAAAATTGTGCTGCCTGGCTTCATAGATCAGAGCTTGGATTTGCATTTAAATTTCAATATCCAGTCATGCAGTATAACACAATTTCCTGGATAAATGTGCTGCTGCAAAGTGACAGACTATTCTTGATCAATGGCACCAAGTTTTCAAATGTTCCAACTCAGTGAGAAGCAGCAATTTGACATTTTGTTCTAGATCAAAACCATTTCAACTTCAGCCCATCATCAGTGCCCATGGGCTTCTTGATCAAAGAGGTATCACAGCCAGGCATTTATATCCACGTTTTAATACACACATACGTACATTCCAGGGAGGAATCATTGGCTAAACATTAGCCTTCTCTCCTAAGCCTAGGGAAACAGGGACCAAATGTACCACCCCAGGTTTTCCTGTCTGTGATTGACTAATTCAGTACAAATTGAGGATCAAGTTTAGGACTTTTCTGCACTGTGTGACTATACCACCTGTACGCACTGGGCCATTATGACATTATGACAATACAAGAGAGTAAAACATGCTATATGACCACTCAAACAGTAGACACATAGATTGAAAACATGTGAATGGCAAAGAAAATAATTAACTTAAACAGTAATGATTTTCAGCAGTTAAATCATTAAAGGGAAATATTTATAAGACTTTGTAATTCGTTATGAAGATGAATTTTTGGTTTAGTACAACCAAGTGTTCTATATTAAAACAACATTAACACTGATAACTCCAGTATCATTGGCAGGAGCATAATATAGATGAAGTGATGCTGCAGTGTCTAGGTAATGGAAACAGTCACTGGTGGTGAAGCGAAGGGGAACAAGTGTGTCCAGTTGTAAATCTGTACAAATATCACTGGGGTGAATGTATACAACCATCAGTGGTGGTAAATGCAAGGAATCTTCAGCAGTAGTGGACACATACAATTGTTAGTGGCAGCCATTGCTCTTTTAAACACAATGGACAGTTCACACAACCAGAAAGTATATGTTTTGAACATGACTGAAACAACACAATCTATTTTCTGTATTTCTCTGAACTTAGTGAGAAGATCTC